CTTTTCTGCTCCTATGGTGCTGCTTGGCCTGCTGTGTTCATCCAGCCCTGCGTCTTGTTGTCTCGGATTCTCCAGCATCTGCAGTTCCTACTATCTCTGTTCCTCACTGTGGTGATCTGAGCATGTTCTACTGCCTCCTGAGATGAAGGCCCAACCAGTCTTCATTTACCAGCATCCTCCTCCACTTAGTTAGGCTTCTGTTTACCTTGATCAGCTTCTCCTCCTTCGATTTTGTTCACTTCCTCCAGATAAAAGGAAAAGTAAAGGGGCTTCTTCAGGCTTTAGCCCTTTCACTGGATAGAAAGGCATCCCATCTGCCCTTGCAGTCCAAAGGCCTCTGGTAGCATTGTTCACACCTACGAGCTACCTAGCAATCAATCAAATAGTTGCTGTCAGGCTGATAGCATCCAAAATTTTTCAAAATTCAGAAAACAACAAGTAGTCTGTTGCCATATGCATCTCACTTTTGTGAGCACCCTATCGTGCTGGCCTGTCTGCAATCGGCCATATCCTCCCCTAACCACCTCCTACTTTATACAAAGTAGCAGTGTTAATACAACTTGCAACGAGTTTCAGTAATTATTAGAAATGGAACAATTCCCTTCTCCAGTCCTTGGTTTTAAAGCAGTCTTTTTCTCATTTCTGACCACAACGTTGCAACCCACTGGGCTACTGCAAAGACGTCAAGCCACCTGGATATTCCTGGATTCATAAAGTTTGAATATTCTTTTTAAATACACACTTCCCTAACTTACCTGTGTTCTAGATCCAGATTGACACAAAACATGTGCCAGGTTTCTCTAATTGAGAATAATTTATATATTGCAAATAAATAGACAGTTATGAACCATTGGCATATAATGCTACTAAATAGAACTGTAATTCCCTTTATAAACTTTCCCTCTCACCGTGTCAGTTGTGGGGGTGTGGGAGCACAGATTATGGGCAGAGCGAAAACTGAGAAAGCAGCTCAGTGGTTCCTTTTTTCATATGGGTTATTGTCATGATTCTTGTGCTGGTCAAAATGCTGCATTTCACTTGTCTTTATCTAGATGCTTGCAGTAGCTTGTGGTTTGCTAGAGGTACAGGGTGGCTGGTTCACTGAAAGATCTGACTTATTGATTTTGAATTTCATGTTTCCATACTCTGTGTCTGAAAAGGCTCTTGTGCAATGGTATTGTCTCTACATTTGAGCCAGGAAGTTTGTGCTCAAGTCCCACGTTCTCTAGAGGTGTGTAATAACATGTCTGAACGGGTTGATTTGAAAATACCTATTTTCTATGTCTGATTCTTCCCTTCCTTTTTGAAATTCTCTCTCGATTATATGTAGATTGACAGTCAGATTAATTTTTTTGATGTCTTTTGACTCCCACAGCTGCCTCTGCTAGTCTCGCTTTCAAACAGTGCTAAATGTTTTATACCATGTTATGGTTATTTGCCCCTAAGGATCTCTTCCTCTGAAATTCTTTACTAAATTTGCCTCCTTATACATTATAGATCCAAAATAGCCTTGATCCTTAACATGTTGCTCTCTGAAACTGACCTGAATACAGAGACTTTTTCTTCATGACTACCTTTGCCAACTTGTTTTTTCCCAATCTACATGAAAACTAAATTACCCTTTTTTTTTTAAACATGGCCTCATTAGCTTGTTGTCTCACTTCCTCTGCTGTCAGCTTTTCTTATCACTTACAATACCATGATAGGTTTCCCCTTGTCCTCATCATTCACTCCATCAGCATCTGTACTTGAGATCATTTTCTGCCATTTCCACCATCTTCAGGCACATCTACCTGTTTTTCTTTTTTTTTCTTTTGGAAGGGTTTGTTTACCCTGGCATCCTTGCTTTGTTTCTTAACTGCCTTCAACATCCTTCCCTTCTTACATTTTCTGCATTTGTAAGAGAGGTAACATCTTTTTTAACTTCCCTACTCCTTATAGCCAAAATATTCCTTTGAAATGAAACCGAAGTTTACTCTCATTTCTGACCATTTACTATTCATAATGTAATATAGTCAGTGTTAATGATGAAATATTGATTGGGTGACTGCATGTGGACTATCTCTGGCTCAGTCCATAAATCTGAGCTTCTGGTCAGCTGTCATTTTAATTCTTCACTTTCCTTCTTCGATCTCTGCGTCCTGCAGTGTTCCAACGAAGTTCAACCTAATCTTGAGCATAGGTTACGTGTTTTATTGTAGTACTCTGCAGATTTCTAAGCTCAGCATTGAATTTTACAGCTTCAGATCACAATCTCTGCCAATAATCATTTCCTTTTAACTTTGCTAATAAAGATTTTTCTCAAGGGGAAATTGGATTTGTTTTTGAACGCCATCTGGTCTTCATTCTGCCATTTACACCTCCTGTGGACAGCATCCTTTGTTTATATAAAAAAAAACTGAATTGCTGGAAATGCTCAATTTCCAGCATATGTTAAGCCTTTCTTTGTTTCTTTGCATGTTCCATTGCTGCCCATAACTCTTGCAATGTAATCTTCTACCCTGACTTGTCTTATTCTTTTTTCCATCTTTTCATTCCTCTATCAATTGGTTAAATTGCATTTGATTTTCTAGCCTTTCCCCATTCAGATGAAAGATAATTGACTCAAAATATTAATTCTATTTCTTTCTTCACAATACTGCCTGCTCTGCTCGGTTCTTCCAACATTCTGAACATTTCTTTTATACCGGATTTCCATTTTATTGACAGTATGTGTTTGAGAATCTAATGTTTTGAATAAAAACTCAATCAGTTTTACCTTGACTATCAGTTTGTTTGTTTCATGAATGTTTGTGTTCTGCTAATGGTGCAATAGTTTAAGGTCCGTTTTGAAACATTATGTTGAAGCTGCTTGTGCAAAACATAAATTGACCCTGTGCTTTTTTTGAGTTCTTCTTGGTCTCTTCATTTTTCTGGTTGCACAGCATGGATTTTTAGTTTCTGTAACTGCCTGTGTAATTTCTAGGCTTGATAAGTTGATTTTTTATTTCAGTTTGTTTGGGGGCCAAGACTTGACTTAATTGCATCCATTAAATTTTGATGTATTTCTGTAGATTGAAGTAATGGTCTGTTATATATTTCTAATAACTTTTCAAGATTTTACACAAGTAAGTAATCACAATTATTCATCTTGTTCTGAGTCTATAACGGTATGTAATTTTTTTGACGGTTGCCAGTTGATGCATTGTAACTTCTTTTGTATAGCTAATTCGTGATCTAAGGATACATTCAAACCACTTACTAATTTGTTAACAGTAAGCATTTGTAAAGTAGTAAAGTATATGAAAGATCTTTTTACTTCTTAGTATTATTTAGCTGCTGGATTTTTGGTTATATTGAGACATCTTTTATTCCCAGCCAGAAGATAACACAAGAAGTTTTCCCATCAGTGCAAGCGTCCATAGTTAAATTGGAGGCTGCATGGGATAAGAAATGGGAACAGTACTCCAGTAGAACTGGTTATTCCCCAGTGAGAAGAAAATATCCTGTAAGTAATAAGATGTGAATACTTTCTCTTTTTCAGTTGTCAAAACTTGTTTAGCATTTCAGCACAAATAGATTTTCTGTGACTGAATCCAAATATATAATTTGTATCAGAAGAAAACGTAGAGTCGTGATGTGAAGAAAGATCAGAGGAATTATATACAGTAGCCTCAACATAACTTGTGCAAGAAGGGACATTGACTGCAGTAAATATGGAGGGGGGAAAAAGTAGTATTTGAGCTTTTTGTTAATAGGGCCCAATATGGGACATCTTTTAAAAGAAGTTGAGCTGATTTCCCTGGAAGTGGCAATGAAGAGAGCTCCACATTTTGAGATTCTGCTCAAGGCCCCCCTCAAATATGGAGTTATGTCCATTCCGACTGTTCTTCAGTAGTGCAGACTGAGGAAGGCAAATCATGCCCCCTTTCACAGCACCCTGCTGCTGTATTCTGAAATTTAAAGGTCCTGACGGCCAACTTGACAGTTGTTATCAAAGGATAACTATATAACATGTGATGTTTAGCCAGGTCAGTAGTGCTAAGTAGGATTCTAAATGGGAGGGGTTATGGTGCTAGATGGTAAGAAGGGCTGGTAAGTGATAGTATTTTTAGGGTAGGTTAGTGTGGACTAGAGAAATTGGGCTTGGTAGGGTTTGGGCAATGTGGGAATTAGGTTTTGAGGGGTTTGTGTCCAGCAGCGGGATGTTTGGGTCATATCTGGCAGTGGGAGTGGGGAGTGGGGTCGAGAGGGTTCCATAGATAGGGGAAAGAGGGATGTTCAGGGGTCTGGTCAGGCTTGAGGCGATTTAGAGGATTCAGGAATTGGTTTAGGCCAAATCTGGTCTGGGTCTGGGCCAAGTGGCATGATATCTGATCTGGTCTGGCTGGGGTCAGGGTGTTTAGTCCTGGGGTAGGTTGGTTTGGACGTGGTGGATGTAATTGGGTCTGAGGAGGTGTAGTTAGGGATGTGGTCAGCTAAGTATTTGTGGGTTGGAATGTGAAAGAGTGGCAGCAGTTAAGTTGGTTAGGGTCTGGCGGGTGGAATGGGAATAAGTTGGGTCCAGTGATGGAAGGGAGAGGTTGGATTTGGTGAGCATGGTGTGGGTGTTTCAGCTCTGGTCTATTGAGTTGAGTCTGGGGTTGGGTTGGGGGGGTGCATGTTGGCGATCCCATGCAGGGGTCGTGGTTTAGTTTGTAGTCGATTTGTGGTGGGAAGGGTATTTGGACGTTAGAAGGTGGAGTGTCATGGGTTTTGCAAATGTAGTTTTAGGTGTGCGCAGGAGGGATAGTTAGTTTAATGTCTACTCAGGAGACAGATCACATCACATATTTAATCGTCCAATTTTTCCCAAATCATAATTTTTTGCTTAATTTCATCGCAAATTTCATAGAATCCCTACAGTGTGGAAACAGGCCCAACAAGTCCACACCGACCCTCCGAGCATCCCACCCAGACCCATCCCCCATAACCCACCTAATATACATATCCCTAAACACTATGGACAACTTAGCATGGCTAATCCCCCTAGTCTGCACATCTTTAGACTGTGGGAGGAAACCCACGCAGACACGGAGAATGTGCAAACTCCACACACAGTCACCAGAGGGTGGAATCGAACCCAGGTCCCTGGTGCTCTGAAACAGCAGTGCTAACCACTGAGACACCGTGCTGCCAAATACAGATTTTCAAAGGATTTTGGCATAGAGGAATTGCCCAGAAGTAAATTCAATTGCTGGGGCAAGTATTTCAAAATGTGCTACAATGGGTATTCTGTATGTCTCGATGTGCATCTGCTATCTATGAAGGAATAGTGAATGTCGGTCCAACGGAAAATCTCTTTTTTTTTTTTTTTGCTCCAAGATTATTCTGAATAATCTCAGTAATTTTGAAGTAGAGATGGAAATTGAGAAATACAGAATGCAGTTGGGAGTCTAATTGAAGAGGAATAATTTAGAGCTGTGGAGAAATAAGGCGAGGTGATGGATATTTTTCAGAGCCGGTGCATTTTATGATAAGGCAAGGGGCTGCCTTTTGTGTCTGATACAGTACGAGTTTCAGTAAGTTGCTGTATTCCAAGGATGAGCTTGATGGACTTGAATTATTTTCTGACTCTTGACAGTTCTTGAAGTGACAGAGATAGCAAGAACTGCAGATGCAGGAGTCAAAGGTAAGTATGGAGCTGGAGGAACACAGCAGGCCAGGCAGCATCGGAGGAGCAGGAAAGTTGACATTTTGGGTCAGGACCCTTCTTCAGAAATGGGGAGGGGGAAGGGAGCTCAAATAAAAAGAGAGAGAGGAGGGGTAGGGCTGGGACAGGTAGGTGGGATGGTGATAGGGGAGTGCAGGTAGGGAGTGGTGGGGATTGGTTAGTGAGGTGGGAAGGGCAGATAGGTGAGAGAGAAGATGGCCAGGTTGTGTCAAGTCAAGAAGGTGGGAATGAGAGGGAGAGTTGGACATGGGATGAGGCCAAGGGTGGGGAGACTTTAAAACTGGTGAAAGCCATGTTTAGGCCATTAGGCTGTAAGCTCCCAAGGTGGAATAAGAGGTGCTGCTCCTCCAGTTTGCGGGTGGTGTCATTGTGACACTGGGGGAGGCCCAGCATGGACATGTCGCCCAGGGAGTGGGAGGGGGAGTTAAAATGGTTGGCAACCAGACAGTGTTGTCATTTGTCATGTACAGAGCGCAGATGCTCTACAAAATGGTCTCCAAGTCTCTGCTTGGTCTCACCAATGTAGAGGAGGGGATATTGGGAGCAGCAGATGCAGTAGACCAAGTTGATGGATGTGCAGGTGAACCCCTGTCTGAGGTGGAAGGTTTGTTTCGTGTCTTGAATGGAGGTGAGAGGGGAGGTGTCGAGGCGGGTGTAGCACTTCCTGTGGTTGCAGGGAAAAGTGCTGGGGGTCATTGGGGAGTGTGGAGTAGATGAGGGAATCGTGGAGAGAATGGTCCCTATGAAACGCAGGTAGGGGTGGGGAGGGAAGTATCTCTTTGGTTGTGGGTTTGGATTGTAGGTGGCAGAGAATGATACGTTGGATGCGGAGGTTGGTGGTGTGATACAAGGGGGATTCTGTGTTTGTTTTTGTTGAGGGTGCGGGAGGATGTGAGGGTAGAAGTGTGGGAAACACAAGAGATGGTTGAGGGTATTTTCGATCACCGGTTGTGGGGGGGGTTGGTGGTGGGGGAGTCCTCCTTGAAATAGGAGGACATCTGGGATGTGTGGGTGTGGAACGCCCCATCTTGGGAGTAGATGCGGCGGAGGTGGAGGAATTGGGAGTAGGGATTGCATTTTTGCAGGAGGTGTAGTCCAGGTAGCTGTGGGAGTCGGTGGGCTTGAAATAAATGTCAGTTTTGAGGCAGTCACCAGAGATGGAGACAGAAGTCCAGGAAGGAGACGGAGGAATTGGAGATGGTCCAGGTGAGTTTGAGGTTGAGGTGAAAGATGTTAAAGTTGATAAACTGTTCAAGCTCCTCGTGGGAGCATCAGGCAGCGCGGACACAGTCATCAATGTAGCAGAGAAAGAGGTGGTGGATAGTGCCAGTGTAGCTTGGAAGAGGGACTGTTCCGTGTATTCTACGAAGAGGCAGGCATAGCTTGGGCCCATGTGGGTGCCCACGGCCACCCCCTTAGTCTGTAGGAAGTGGGAGGAGTTAAAGGAGAAGTTGTTAAGGGGAAGGACGAGTTCAGTTAAGCAGATGAGGATGTCGGTGGAGGGGTACTGGTTGGGCCTGTGGAAGAGGAAGAAGCGGAGGGCTTTTAGGTCATCCGCGTGGGGGATACAAGTGTACAGGAACTGGATGTCCATAGTGGTGTTGGGGGGCCAGGGAATTGGAAGTCTTGGAGGAGGTGGAGGGTGTGGGTGGTGTCCAGGATGTAGGTGGGGAGTTCCTGGACTGGGGTTGGCGGGGAAGTGTCGAGTTAAGCAGAGATAAGCTCAGTGGGGCAGGAACAGGCAGAGACAATGGGTTGACCGGGGCAGTCAGGTTTGTGGATTTTGGGAAGGAGATGGAAATGGGCAGTGCAGTGTTAGGGAACGATGAGTTTGGAGACTGTGGGTGCGAGGTCACCTGAGGTGATGAGGTTGTGAATGGTTTGTGATGGTTTTGTGGTCGGGTAGGGTCATGGTCGAGGGGGTGGTAGGAGGAGGTGTCAGAGAGTTGGCACTGGACCTCGGCTATGTAAAGGTCGGAGCACCATACCACTACTGCACCTCCCTTAACTGCGGGTTTGAGGTTAGGGTTGGAGCGGAGGGCTTCACATTCCATTGGGGAGAGATTGGAGTGAGGGAGAGGGGTGGAGAGGTTGCGGCCATCGATGTCGTGACGGCAGTTGGAAATGAAGAGGTCGAGGGAGGGTAGGAGGCCATGGGGTGGTGTCCAGGAGGATAAGGTCTGTTGGTGGGAGAAGGAATCAGTAGAGGGTGGGTTAGACTCACGGTTAAAGAAATAAGTGTGGAGGCGGAGGCGATGGAAGAAGTGTTCGACATCCAAACGTGAACGGAATTTATTGAAGTATGTGCAGAAGGGGAATGAAAGTGAGTCCTTTGTTGAGGACAGACCGTTTGTTCTCAGTGAGGGGGAGGTCTGGGGTGATGGTGAATACCTGGCAGGGCTGGGGTTGCGTGTAGGGGTGGAATTAGTGACGTCACTGGCATCGATGGTGTCGGTGACCTCTACGTCGGCGAGACCACTTTTTAGAGCAGCTGTGTTCTGTCCGCGACAATCAACAACACCTGGTCATCAACGATTTTAACTCCCCCTCCCACTCCCTGGGTGACCTGTCCATCCTGGGACTCCTCCAGTGTCACAATGACACCGCAAACTGGAGGAGCAGCACAACATATTCCGCCTCAGGAGCCTACAGCTTAATGGCCTAACCATGGATTTCACCAGTTTTAAAATCTCCCCACCCCCAGCCTCATTCCATGTCCAAGCCTCCCTCTCGTCCCCGCCTCTTTGACCTGACACAAACTGTCCATCTTCTCTCCCACCTATTCGCCTCTTTCCCCCCTCACTGACCAATCCCTACCACTCCCTACCTGCCCTCACCTATCACCATCCCACCTACCTTCCCCAGCCCCACCCCTCCTCTTTCTCTTTATTCCTGAGCTCCCCTCCCCCTCCCCATTTCTGAAGAAGGGTCCTGACCTGAAATGTCAACTTGCCTGCTCTTCTGATGCTGCCTGGCCTGCTGTGTTTCTCCAGCTCCACATTGTGTTATCTCTAGAAGTGATAGAATTGCTTCTGTTAAAACTGCTCAAGGTCAAATAATCTTGCCCAAAATCACATGTTTTTTCCCCTGTCATGTTAGCTTGGAATAAAATTTGAATGAAGTAAATTTTCTTTTACCAAGGTAAATCGTGAGTCATGAATTGAAGGCAATCTTGACTTGACTGTTGTTCACTTTTTTCTTTTTTTTTTGTAGGTCCTTGATCTCCTCCCAACTATGCCGCCGTTGTCTTTTGAACCATCTTCAGAAGAAGCATACAAAAGTAGTATATTTTATACACACTCTGCAACACTTCCAGGTGGGTTCAAAAAATGTATAACTTGCATCATTGGGCAATCCCTGTAATTTGCTTCTAACATAAAGCCAAAATGATCTTGATTTTAAAATTAATGCTTCAACATATTTCAAACATTTTGTTTATTGTGTGCTTGTTTATCTGTCTTGAATTAAGATGTTTGCTTTCTAATTCCTTGTGGCCTCCTCCTTGCCTGTTTCGAGTTTTCCCCTGGATCCACAATATTCTGGGTTACCTTGGCACCTCTAATTCTGCCCCCGAAGCATCCAGATTTTTAATCCTGCCACTGTTGGCGGATGTGTCTTTGTGGAAATGTTATATTTCAGCCCTGGGTTTTGGCCTCCTTGAATCCTGTGTGCCAATATGCTGTATTAACCCATGGCTCACTTGTATCACCCTGCCTGGTCCTTACCTACCTAGAATGTCACTACTGTGGCAGCCTTCAGAAATTGGGGTTCCAGATTCTAGAACACTTCTTAAACTATTCAGCTGACTGCCACTGTTTTCATTGCCATCTTTACATCATCTAGAGTTGGTTATATTTCACATGCGATTTGTAAGCTATTTAAAAATCTCAATTGTTTTCACGGGCTCTTTCAAAGAATAGTTCATCAGAACTTCTAATTGTATAGACCTACAACAGCATTTTACTTCCCGATCCATTAACCTGTTGTCGTTCAGTCACTTGGTTCCAGAGTAGCACTGGAGAAGAACTGCAATATGTCTGCAAATTACTTGGTGTCTCTGCATAACAGTACAATATGGATTTGTCTTTTTAAAACAAAATACAATACTCAGAATTCTCTAACTTGAAATTTAACTTTTTCTTCATATAGTCACCTGAAAAATCTCAGTGCCTAGGAAATGTTTAATTTGTTATGTAGACTGAATTGTCCATTCTGCAATTTGAAGCCTAACTCTTTATATTTATTCCATTTTTTAATAGGGCTTGAAGAATCATGTACAAGAAGTTCAAAAAAGGGTGATAGTGGTATAGGAAGCATTACAAGAAGCTTTAATGACCTAAGCACATCAAGGTTGCAGTGTTCTGGAAGGTATGGTCTGTAGTACTCTGAACTATTAATTCGAACACACTGTATTCTTGAACCAAAGAAGGTTGCACAGTTTGCATGTTTTATTGTTCTATCATCTTGAATTGCTTTTAACATAGAACTTTAGAATTCATGTCGCTCCAATAATATGTCGTGTATACATTTTGTGTAAAGCACAACTAATGACATGCATGTTTGGCTGCTTCCTTTTTAGTGTTGATTTGTGCTGCTTATTTTGTTTTCAGAGTACATTTTTCTTCAACAGAAAGCAACCTTGATTATTTATAAAATCTGTAGTTTTTGAGCAGTTTCAATTTTTTGTTGTACATCTTGTGAACATTTTCCAGCACTTTTTCTTTCTGCAAAGTTCTTCAGGGGTATATAATTCGTTTTTTTTTGTCCACAAAGATGTCATAGTGAATACAACACGTAGGTAGAACATGAGAAAGGACCAGCAGGTAGGTGATTTGGCTGCTCGCAGATGCTCAGCTCTTCATTAAGATCATGTCTGATTTGACTGTGGCCATGAATGCGCTCCTACCTGTCCCCATATCCATAGATTTACTTTCAGATCTAAAATCTGTCTAGCTCAGTCTTGAATATACCAGTGACTCAATCTCCACTACCTGCAGATGTAGCGAATTCTGAAGATCTTCTGAAATTTTCCTCGTTTCTTGAGACCCCTTTTATTTGAAAATTAATGACCACTTAGGTTTGTCCTATGCATTTGAATACATTTGGCTAATAAGAGTGACACAGAATCCAATTTATTGAAAATACCTGTATACTGGAAACATTTGACTCAACCTTGTGATGTTATATCTAGCGACTTCAGTAATTATGCAATCATTACTGAATCCCATTATCTTAAACCTGGGGTGAAGTATGCCTGTTAAGATTTTTAATGTGTAAATTAAACACAATGAAAATAAACATTGCAACTTAGTTCAAAATGAATCCTGTAAATTACAATATGTGCCTCCTTGCTGTTGAACTCTACGTTTTGTTGTAGAGTTTATCTCCACACATCTTACGGACTGAGTGCTTCTATATTCTACATAGGTTATATATTCCTAATCCACTGGGAGGTTGATACGCAATTAGAGTCAAACTCTCTCTCTAGTTGTCACCAATATCTCCCTAAAATAAAAAGCCTTTTGATGACCGAGCCAACTTGAGAGAAATTGGAGCGGACAGATACGGGGCAAACAAACCATCAGCAGTCTTCTGTGTGTTACAAAATGAGCTTTGCATCAGTAATCTCATTCTTGTACAAGTATTGCTGCAATAGTTGTGTGTATCAGTGGCATGTATTGGTGCATGAAAGTTGCACTGTTACCTTGTTTTGTTTTTGGATATTTTGTGTGGCGATTGAGAGAGTTCTGCTTGGAGTGGTGAAACTGAGGTGGCGAATTTCTTGGATACTGTTCTTGATGCAAAGTGAAAAGGTAATAGGTCAAGCGGAAGGGGTATGAGGTAGTTCAGTGGCAAGCAGCACCTGACACGGAGATTTATTTTCATTTTAACCTGTTTTTCTAATCAAGCTGTTCAGAGATTTTGTTACACACTTCTGGAACAGGTGGGACTTGAACTTGGCACTCCCAATCTAGGGATAAGGATACTACCTCTGCGCAACAAGAGGGCCCCATACAGGAAAGGTCTTGTATAACAGGTGAGCCTTGATGGCTTTAAACCTTGGCAGCAGCAGAACAGAGATTGTTGCTGAAGATCATTTTTAAATTGTTTTAAATAGTGCAAATCTGTCTGGAGTGCAGTTGAGTAACTTGATTGGGAAGTGACAACGTGGGGGCTGAAGGTAATTTGAAATAGCCGGCATCCGAGTTTTGCATTTTGCCTCTCTGCTCGCTGGAAAAAGAAACATTTTCTTAAACACAGTATGATGTAGAGTGAAGACCAACGTAAATTCCAAGAATAACGTAAGTGTGTACTAGTGAAGAAAGTTGGAAACACAGGTAGTGCAAGTGGGAAAGGATGGTTTTAATGAAATTAAGAAAATGAAAATTCAATAACTGTTCATATGTTGTGTTGATGCACTGTTGCCTGTTGATGACCCTTTTACATTGTGGAAAAAGACAAACCATGTTGAACATGAACAAACAGTGTCCCCTCTATTAACAAAGTCATGGTCTGATTACCATAACCACCTTATTTGCTGAATTTATTGCTTGCGCTCACTGAATCAAATAGTTAGATGTAACGTGAGGGATGATATTCGAGTTGAAATTCAAGTGGAATCAACTATAGGCAGGTATTGAGAAGGGATTACTGAAAATGTTGCTTACCATCTCAAAGTGCTGTTAAGTTTGAACTTTCATCTACTCTTTAAGTGAAGGTGAAATCAGAAATTTAATAAAGTTCCATTAGGTCTCAGAACTAGGAATAGAAATAATCCCTTAATTCAAACTTTAATCTTCCAGATTCAGCATTCCATTTGGAGATCCAACTGAGGAAACTCATTTAACATCTCTTGGAGAGGTAAGAAATGTTTTAACACATGACACTTGTGAAGGGTACGATTGGAATTTGTTCTATCATGTTCATAGAAAAATATAGGACATCATTTAGCTCACTTGGCGGCATGGCTGGTTTGTGATGCAGACTGAGGCCAACAATGCAGATGCAATTCCCGTACTGTCTGAAGTCACTATGAAGACCCTACCTTCTTTAGGTCACCCTTTTGCCTGAGGTGTGGTGACCCTCGGGTTAAACCACTACCAGTCGTGTGTCTTGGAAAGCAGCCCTCTGGTCTTCTGCAATTGTGGTGACTTTACCCTTTTTATTATATTCATAAATGTGCTAAGAATAGTGTCCTGATAATGCATTTGGGCATTTTTTAATCAGTATTAAACTGACTTTAAAAAATGTTGATTCTCAGGAATCTGTTGAAATCCCTTGGACAAAAAGACAATGTCTTGAAAGTAAGTCGCAGAATTCATATGCAAATGCAATGGAAAAGGAACAAAATGATAAAACTCCAAATAAGTCCTATCTGAATAAAGCTAAAAATCTCTCTAAGAAAGCAGAAGAATCACTTCAGAAGGCTGTTGACCAGTTGGCAGAAGAGGTAAGTAAGCACCTTTTTTTTATGTAGTAGCCTCTGATTTGTACAGCAGGGAAGTAGACCATCCAACCTGTTGCGTATATTTGCTCTAGTAAGCACCATCCAAATGATAACTCTCTACGTTTTAAAAAACCTTATTTTCGCCCCCCTCTGACTTTTTCCCCCAGTTTCTTAAATTTGTGAATTCTGGTTACAAGCTCTCCTGCAAGTGAAAGGTTTCTCACTGTCCTCTTATTCAGACTGCTCAATTTTGAATACCTTCCACTAAATCTTGTCTTAACTGCTTCTGTGAGGCAGTTGTCCCAACATTTAATCTATTCTCATTGAAAATTCATCCCTGGAATCATTTTGGTAAATCTCCACTGCATCCTCTCAAATATTGACACCATTGTTAAAGTATGTCCCTAAAACTGGACACTCTGTTGTATCTGGGTCCTAACCTACGGTTCATGTAGCCTTGCCACATCTTTCCAACTTTTTGAATTCTATACTTCCGTAACACCAAAGATCCCATATGCTTCTGTTTTTACTTGGAGGCCTTCTCAACTTGTATTGTTACCCACATGCGAACCACTTGGTCTCCCTCAAATGAACTAGCTTCCTTTGTTCCTCTACCTGCTCGGTTGGTTAGAATAATGCTAGTTTAAAAATTATCCCTTCCCTTGGGGATACCTTTCTCCCAGACCCAAGAGAACCTCTGTTTAAAAGGAGGCCAATTTAATTAGACATTCTCGAGGTAACAAAAGTGAGTTGCTTAGTTACTAAATGTGAAAAAAAACAATAATGCTACATGCATAAACACAGATTAGGAATGCATTGAGTCCAAAACAAGAAAATATTGATACATGATCAGTCTTTGGGTTGTTCCTGAGAACAGATAGTGGAACATTGGCAGTTGAGCAGTTAGTTATTGAATTGAATCACTTATTGTCACGTGTATTCAGTGTCAAAATACAGTGAAAAATGTGTACCTTTGCCGTACATACATGGTGCCATTCACAATTATTTAGAATTAGATACAAGAAAAAAGATAACTTGAGTCCACATTTCCTTTGCACTGCTATAGTCCCACTCCGGGCTTACCAGCCCATGGCACTGCTGCCTCATCGGCCCGCTGTCGCCAGCCCACTCCTGCTCTGCCACCATCGCTCTGGCCTGTGCTCAAACCACCATTGCTGCAGGACACAACCCACACATTCAGCTCCTGCTATGTGGTTCCCAGTCGCGACCCGGCTCCTTCCTTACTCCTTAGGTAGGTAATTAAAAGGGGTCAGGGGTATAGAATTACTACAGAGGGAGAAAAATAACGAAAGGACAAAGAAAGAAAGAGAGAGAACTGGTGAGCAGAGTGGAGTTCCAAATGAGGTGATTTACCCTGTCACCATCTTGTTGGATGTTAGAACCCTTTGGCCTGTTTTCTTTTAAAGGTAGTTGGCTGGCAACACTACAGTGTTGGAACCTTTTTTATATTCCTGGAAGGGTAAAACAATGTCTGATTGAGATGACTTTCTGCTAAGAGGAGAGAGATGGTCAATCTCCGCATTACCTCTTCCTGTTGCATCTGTCTTGAAATTTCCCCCCATTCTACAGATAGAACATTCTGTTGGTCCCATATAGGACTTTGGTCTTTTTCTTTTATTTGTAAGTGTCTTTTTTTATATTAAAACATGTTTTGTACTTAAGTTCTAAATATCTACATACTTTGGTTTCTGATCCATCCTCATGACACTAATTAACTCTCTACCTTCCCTTGACCATTTTTTATTTATATTTATATTTATTAAAGACTTCCATTTGCATTATCTGCTAGTCAATTAATTGATTCTCTCTCATTTGGCTCACTGTGTTTTACTGCATTTTATCAATTTTGTTCTCTATTATTTTAATGTTTTTATTTCATTATAAGTTTTTTTTTGGTAACTCAGAATGCTCTAGCATTTGATCCCCTTCCTTTCCCATCAAGGAAATGTGGGTGGTCGGTATTCAAGCTTTGTCTTCCCTTAAAGCACTTCATTGTTTACATACAGATTCATTTGTATTAGCTAAAGCACTTGTGACAAATCTCTCTGCTTCTGATGTCTAATTAAATGACCCTGTATTTGGAATAAAATGCTAATTGTAATTCAGATCCTCTGCATTTTCTCTGTAGAGGAGTATTACCTATTGCAAAACACCATTTGTTCAAGGTTGCAACTAGATTCATTCTCGCACTGAGGGCCATATGCGTATTAATTAATATTATTTTCTTCTACAGGTAGCAGATACAGTCAGCAGTGATTCACCTGGATTAGCTAAAAAGGGAGATGTACCCCTTGATGACCTATTTGTCTCACCGAGAAATCCTTTCACTGTACAATCGGAACTGCCAAGGACACCTGAAAATTTGAGTAAGCCTTCTGTTAATGGTCTTCAGTTTGTAGCAGAGACTGTCACTGAAGAAGCATCTAGATTAACTGAAAAGGAAGATGTGCCCTTTGTTGACCCATTTATGTCATCAAGAAATCCTTTCACTGTACAAACAGAACTTCCAAGGACACCTGAAAACTTAAGTAAGTTTCCTTTCATTATTGAGCACATTGAGTTTAATAATGTAGAGTTCTGAAAACTATAATTGCCTTCTAATATCGTAGATTTTTGCAACTACGCTTGGCTACTTTCTCAACTATTTTACACAAATTTGAATGTGATGTGGAATATGATGGCAGTTTGCACAATTGTAGCAAAGCTTCACATTATGTTGGTATAAAGAGAACAAAGTTGCATTCAGACTATGATGTCCCAATACATTTCACAGCACATCATTTACTTTTAAAAGACCACCACTCATGTAAGAAACATTGGTTGTATACAATCTGCAGCCAAAGTAACAGAAGAGAATTTCCTGGTTATTTTGTTTCAGTATTGTTGATTTTTGAAAGCATACACTTTTTGGTAGCGCACTGGCTGTCTGAAGTATATTCAACTTCCATGTGACATGCCACCTGAATACAGAATTCCTTTTACTGTTTCAGAATACCTTCTGCAGGGCTTTGCCTATGCAATGTTGTTGACTAATTTTTGTTTGAATGGCCACTCTTGGACAGTAGACTGCTGTAAAATATATTCCATTTAACTTCCACGAATAGCGTATTAGTGAGTGGTTAATACAACGACAATGAGTTTGTAAAACACTTCAGATTTTAAACTTAAAAGAAAACAACGAAGCAAAAAGAGCTATATCGAAAGGAAACCAAATGCTTCGCCAGAAATGGTGAAGGAGTTTTGGGAGGATATTAAAACTAACAATGTGGATGGCTGAAGGCTAACTCTCAAACAAGGCACAGGGTTGACATTCCAGAAAAAGTCAGGGTTAGTGGTACAATAGCTTAGAATTTACTGCAAAATTGTTGTTTTAAAAACAATTTGGTAAGGACAAGATTTGCTGTCTGAAAGCTACTAACTGTGCTCAAATTTGTGTTTTTTGCCTTAAAGAAACAAGAACTTGCTGACACTTGAGTATGAATTCAACTTAGCAGAAAGTTCAGACTATTTGTTCAGTTGGTTTATGTTCCAGTGGCCTCCCACACTGAAACTAGACAGCGACTTGCTCAGCAACCACCACGTAAAGTATGCAGTCAAAATAATGTTAAACTGGGAAAGCAAATCCTTCTTGGGTGGGGTGGGGTGGGGTGTGAATGTACCCAAATACACCAAAATGAGATGAATGGAATGAAGCAAAGTACCTGTTTTAAAAAGTTTTACTGGATACATTTTGATTTTGAGCATGTGCAGGCTGCTAACTCAGTGCTGAATCCGTGTTTTAGCATGGAGAATATCAAATATCAAATTTGATTTTTTGCTTTAAAGTTTTTGAGAAGATTTGTAGCTCAGGTTGTGGATGAACTTGTGGATTTGCTTGCCAAACCAGTGTGTGTGATTACAGACGTTTTGTCACCCTGCTGGGTAACATCATCAATGTGCCTCTGGTGAGGGATTGGTGTTCTGTCCTGCTTGTTATTTATATGTCTTGGTTTGCTGGGATAGTTGGCATTACTTCCAGTTCTGTTTTTCAGTGGTTTGTGTAACGGTTCTGGTTCGATGTGTTTGTCGACGGAGTTCAGGTCGGAATGCCAGGCCTCCAGGAATTCCCTGGCCTGTCTCTGTTTGGCTTGTGCTATTGTGGATGTGTTGTCCCAGTCGAATTCATGTCCTTCTATGTCCGTGTGTATTGAGAGCAGTGAGAATTAGTCATGTCTCTTGCTGGCTAATTGGTGTTTGTGTATCCTTATTGTCAGCTCTCTTCCAATCTGGCCTATGTAATGTTTCTCAAAGTCCTTGCATGGTATTTTGTACATTGTTAGTTTTATTGGTTGTAGGTATGGGATACTTGACGTTCGTCAGTAGCTGTCACGGGGTAGTTGTTGGTTTGTGGGCTACCCTGATACCTTGGGGTCTGAGTAGTCTTGTGGTCATCTCTGGATGGCAGGGTGACTAGTGTGTCTGACCATGTTTTGTCTTGTTGTGGAGCTAATGGCGGATTGTGCTTTTTGGGTATCCATTCCTTTTAAAAACTCTAAGTGATCCTGTTTTGCTTTACGCAATTCTGGGTTGCTGCAGTGTGTTGTGGCCTGTTTTAATAACATCCTGATGCAGCTCTGTTTTATGGGTGTTGGGGTGGTTGATGGAGTAATTAAGTATCTGGTCCATATGTGTGGCCTTTCTGTATACGCTTGTCTGGAGTTCTCCGTTGTTCTTATGTTCTACCATTTATGTCTACGAAGAATAGTCGGTTATTATTCTCTCTCTTCTTTTGTGAATTTTATTCCGGTGAGGATGTTTGTCAGTGGGTTTCTTCTAGTCTTGTGCGTTTGATAATCACAAAGGTGTCCTCTACGTAGTGGACCCAGAGTTTGCGTTGTATAGTGGGGAGCGTTGTTCATTCTAAGTTTTTTTTTTTTTTTGCATTACTGCTTCTGCAATCAGTCCTGATATTGGGGATCCCATTGGTGTTCTGTTGATTTTTGTTTGAATATACTGTCGTTGAATGTAAAGTGCTCCCTAGGTATCAGGCTAGCCCACAAACCAACAACCACCCTGCGACAGCTACTGACGAACATCAAGTATCCCATACCTACAACCAATAAAACTAACAATGTAAAAAATACCATGCAAGGACTTTGAGAAACATTACATAGGCCAGATTGGAAGAGAGCTGACAATAAGGATACACAAACACCATTTAGCCACCAAACAATATGACCAATTCTCACTGGTCTCAATACACGCTGACCAAGAAGGACACGAATTTGACTGGGACAACACATCCATAATAGCACGAGCCAGAAAGAGCCATACAGGGAATTCCTGGAAGCCTGCCATTCTGACTAGAACTCCATCAACAAACACGTTAAACTGGACCCGATCTACAAACCACTGAAACAGAACCGGAAGCGATGCCAACCACCCCAGCAAACCGCGGCATGTAAATAACAAGCAGGTCAGAACACCTTAAGCAAAACACTTAAACTGCAGTTTTCCTCTTAATGTTATGTTTTCTAAACTGTTTATTTAGAAGTCCAAGCTCTGTAATGCTCTCTTATAAGGCAGACTCATGTAAGAGCTCTGTGGTAATGATTGAGCTCCTATTAAATTTCACTGGTTAAGATTATAGAACATTATTCCCAGATGTCTCACTGTCATAGTTAACAATTTAGGGCATATAATTTGAGACAACAGGCAAGGAAAGAGATGATAACCAGTGGCACTTGCTGCAGAACACCTTGCTCTTAGAAATTCTGGTCAATTTGTTTGATCAGGGTTGTAGTACGATTGGAGTTGAAGGACAAGCCCATGAAGGGATTTAAGCACCAGCGTGAAAACTTCACATTTGAGAGAAGCCAACAAGGGCTGTTTAAGCTGGGGAGAATCTGAGAAGCCCAAGGCAGGATAGGCTACAGAGCTTTGGAGGAGCCGAAGTTATTGGATAAAAGATGGGAGTCTGGCTGGATGAATACCTACAAAAGCATGTAAATTAAGTTTGCAATAGTCAGAAGCTATTATAGATGAAATTCAGCTAAAATGTAAATTCTTTACATTTGCTGTGAAAGTAGCTATTTGAGCGACTTAGATTTGGGAACTACAGATATGTTGACTTTGCCGATCGTTTCCATGTCTGGGCTATATGTAATAATCAATAAAAGTTTATTTTAAAATGTGGAGCGATTATTGCTATATCAATACAAGTCTGAGGCAGCTGTGATGTCCAGTGTTCTGCTTGTGTTTCGAGTTCAGCATTCGGTCCTGATTGAGCCTTTGCAGTGCTTACGGTTAAGTTCATTTTCAGTGTCAGAGGACTTATTACATGGAAAAGGGTCTCAAAACACTTTTTTTTTGTGAGAACCTTGCAAGTAACTAAATGAATGGAAACAGGTTGGAATTATTCAAGATAAGTTGTGGTTAATCCAGGGCCCTATTTCAAGTTGGTTCTTAGGTGTATCTAAGCCAGAGAACCTGACAACAAACTGCTAATAGGGCAAGATCAGAGTTGGTGCTGTGGAAGACATTACACTGAATATCTTGGTTTGAGTGAGCTTAATTTGCTGAGATTCATATCTGCTCCTGTGTAAGGAAATTATCTCCAATCTCTTACTTTGATTTTAATATTTGTTTTTAATGATTTCTTACAGTTACAGACATTAGGAACTCCTGGAGATGTGCAGTTCAGGAATCGGAACTTAAACTAAAGAAACACCAGGAAGAGTCTCTTTCAATACATCCAAAATGTGGAAATCAGACAAATGGCCAAGTTCTGTTGGAGACTGAACTATCTGCATCTGCTGCAAGTCAAAATCTGACCGGATTTATTAATGAGAATTCTCTCAAAAGCACTACTCCTCTGGCTTGTTCCAAGCAGAACAACAACTTTCTGAAATCTGATCCTAGAAGGGAAAAAAACAAATTCAGGCAAAGCAATTGGGAGGAATCCAAAATTGATTGCTCAAATGTTGAATCAGAGGATGAGCCACATCACTTCAGTAATAAAGTTGCAGATAGTGATGCAGCTGATGCATTTGTTCATAAAAATCAATGTCCTCATGATTCCCAAAGTTTGGGTGAGGATTGTGCCTTCGCTTCTAAAGCAAGTGCCACTACTAATGCAACTACAACAAGTGAGACTGTTTCTGATCACCACCTACAATTTTTGACACTTGACAGGTTAAGTTACAAGTCTCCAATTAAGAAGGAGAAACTGTCAAAAAGTTTTGTGATGGAAATGTGCAAATATGATGTAACTTCAGAAAATTTTGAGTCTTTTTCATCCTCTGAATGTGACTTGGACCGTACAGTACCTTGGAACAGATCACAAAATTTTGACAGTGATCTCTCCAGCTCAGCAAAGCCTCTGAGGTTTGGGATTTTGCAGGAGACTATTCCTGATGTGCTCGATAATGAAAGTTTGAACAGTTCCAGAAATATGGAGGTTGGTCAAGTGGATGATTCCTATTTGGACATAAAGAATTTGCGCAGTAGATTTGAGCAAGTATGTAAAAGTTTGGCCACCACAGTGTATGGTGGAAGTGATGAAAAATATTTAGTTGAACATACAGGAACTTCTGATTTCCACAGTAACAGCAATGGTAAAGACAATTATAAGCCAGAACATGACAGTGAAATAGATTCAATTGATGAAGAAACTGGCTCGGATAAACTTTTTTCCTTAGAAACAGAATTTTTGAAAGATCTTTCGCTAGTGTCTTTGGAATTTCCTCCTTCATTGGGAAGCTCTCTGAATGACACAGTGGTTGAAGATGATCTTTTTGGCTTTTCTGAGCATGATCCTTCCAATAGTAAGTGTATGCAGATGTTTATCATGATACATAAATAGTTATGAACTTACAGTAGGTGATTGGAAATTTATTAATTGATGTTGGGTGATTGTTCAGTGTACATTTCATAGTTTTACAAAGCTTTTGAGCACAGTGTGATCCATTTCATGCAGTTTAGGAACAGGAGGCAGCCATTTAGTTGCTGGAACCTCTACCACGGAACAAATTAAATCCTAACAGACTGTGACTTGACTCCACGTTCCTGCCTTTGCTCAATAATCGCTGAGTACCTTTTGACAAACAGTCTTTTAATCCTGACAAACAACTTTTCAATCACACTAAAATTTATTTTTAATTTCTAATCATCACTTGTAGATGAGTTAGGAGACAAAGGGAATTGGGATTTTTTTTCATTCATTCCTGGAACATTGGCCTTGCTGGCTGGACCAGCATTTGTCGCCTGTCCCTAGTTGTGCTTGAGAAGGTGGTAGTGAACTGCCTTCTTGAACTGTTGCAGTACACATGCCGTAGGTTGACTCACAATGTCCTTTGGGAGTAAATTCCAGGATTTTGACCCAGCTTCAGTGAAGGAACAGTGATGTATTTCCAAATCAAGATGGTGAGTAGCTTGGAGGGGAATTTACAGTTGGTGATGTTCCCATGTGTGTGCTGCCCTTGTCTCTCTAGATGCAAGCAGTAATGGTTTTGAAGGAACCTTTTTTTTTTTCGGATATTACCTTTCCACAGAACTGTCACCAATGTTCCCTGTTTTTACACTGGTGCTACCTCCACAAATTAACGAAGCTTGTATCTGTGAAACCAGTCCAAGGTGATTTACTTGTATTTGTCTTCTCACTTCAACCCTTCTCCCTTTAAAACCCTCTGACTTGTAAATCAAGTCAGAAAAATGTGACATGTTGCAAATATTCACGTGCTCGTGTATCAACCTTTCTTAAACCGCAGTGGCTTTGAATGCTTTAATTTTTGAAATCCTATTTACAGGTCCATTCACTACCTTGGCCACCTACAGATTTTTTGTCTCGCGTTTTCATCCTCCTCCATTATTTGCAGTCTTTAATCACCCATTGCCTCCACATGAACATTTTCTCTTGAGACAAGGCAAAACAAAAATTTCAACTTCTTTAAAAACTGTCTTGGGCGATATGCCCAAAGCTTCTCCCCCTCCTCTCCAGCAGCCTGACTGTAGTACAAGTTCTCTTCGACACAGCATTTTTGTGGATAGATGTTTGCTTAGAATGAAACAAATTTATCTTGCACGAAGTGTTAACATTCTGTGTGAAGAGAGTGGTCAACTTTTTTCCTCCAGAAAATCCAATAAATTGTATAGTGGAGTGCATCTCTCCAGTGTTGCTCCAGAGGTTGAGGCAAGACCCATGAGCAAAGTTAGTATGTTTCAAACATTTTATGGTAGAGTTACAAGCTTATGTATGCTATAGTTTCATCGAGTTCCAACATACTTTATTTCAAATTGTTCCAATCACCTACAACTGATGTTTTGTTTTATCGCTTCGCTGCTTATGGTGATCCTTCTTACTGCTGATGTTTTTGGTTTCATTGTAAAGAATGACCTTTAACTTTTTATTCTTTCTAATTTTCAGATGACAAATCTCAAAATGCTATTGATTGTGAAAAATCTTCTACCAACGTGGGACAATTAGTAAACTTCTAGTAGGGCCTGAGTGTTCTAATAAGAACTTTAGGAAATAGCTGAAGGAGAATAGGAGCTCCTTGAGCCCAGTGTTTCATCCAGTATGATGATGATTGATTGTCTTCTGCCTTATTGCCATTTGACTGCCTTCCATTTCCCTTGCTTACTTTGAGATCTGATATCTTGATCTATCTTTAATATGTACAATGATAGAAGCATCCCCAGTCCGGGACAGATGGTTCCATAGATTCACAGTCTTTTAACTGAAGAAATTTCCCTTATCTCAGTTGCAAATTATTAATCCCCTTGATCTGAGATTATATCCCTGTTTGTGGGTTCCCCAGCCAGTGGAAACAGCCTATACTATACCCCTTCAGGAATTGTTATTTTGCAGTTGCATTGCGTCCCATTCCGAGCTTGATTGTGTAGGAACTATTTACCACATCATTCATTGTAGATCAGTCCTGTCATTGCAGGGACCAATCTAATGAATCTTCAGCTGTACTGTTTGAACTTTGCTTAAATTTGGAGACCCAAAAGTGTACACAGTAATTCAGATGTCTCACTAAAATCCTGTGCAATTGTAGTGAGATCGCAGCATTTGGTTGATGACTAATGTCAGATTAGCTGGTCTGTCATTTCCTGATTTGTCCCTCTTTTTCTTGAATAGTTGTGTAGATTTACTATCATCTAATTGACTGGAACCTTTCCAAAATCTCTGGGATTTTGGGAAATCTTAACCAGTATATGCCCGATCACTCTAGCTACCTTTTGAGGTAGGCTAAACACTAATCTGGAACCCAAACTAACCCAGAATGTTGGGATGAAAGGGAATTAACATTGGATGGCCCAAGTGCCCTACACTTGTTTCTTTTTTTTTAATGGATGGTGCAGTATCATTTTACATCTTTGTTCTAATTGATCAAAAATAAAATGTAATCTTGGATGCACAAATTCAATTAAGGTCACCTCCCATCCAATTTCAAACATGTATTTAGGAAGATGGTCATTTTAGTATTTGTTGGTAATCTTTAAAATACCACACTGGCTTGGACCTTTTGAGTTAGTTGTCTGGTATTCAGACAGGCTATAGGCGTATAGATCCAGATTACTCATATCTAATCTCTGGACATGCTGAACACTGACATTATTTAAGGTTGAAAATTTGTCCTTGGTAATATCATTCTTCACATTGGAGGTGAATTCTAAGGAAATCCAAACATTTTGCAACCATTTGTCACTTTCTTGGTCCCCACTTCTAGATTTTGTATGATTTAACTTTTGTACTTGTAATTAAATAATAAATAAAGCATTTTATAGCTTATGAAACAGAAGTGAGTATAAATTAATTGTACTATTTACTGTAGTTCCTCTGATCTTGTTGATATTGTGCCAGTGTGACCTTTCCTCACTGTCTTGGCAGCAGCTGTCCCAAATTTTAGTGCATCCCTCAGCATGTTATTCTGGACTTTGGAATGTGCCAGTCTGCAAAATCCAGTTGAAGGAAACTCCACATTGGAAGGTCAACAAGTTTCAGGGTCTTTCACTGAGTTGATGGTCCTTTGGATGTAGTTTGTCTCTGTGTGTCCCAAGGAAAATAGAGATCATGGAAATGCTCAGGACAAACTTTGACAAAAACCACTGCATCTCTCAATGTACTTTCTTCACGAAAGTATAGTCTAGAAGGAGACGGCCAGCTTGAACACAGCGTACATTGGCCTAGAGACTCTGCATGAAAGCTCTCCTCCTTCTCGCCACCAACCAGTAGCTTTTTTGGAAAGTTTTTGCGATGAGGCATTCTGTCAGTCTGCCTGGGGAACCCTGACTGGAGCCACCATCTTTCCTTGCATGGCTTTGGAAGACTGCCTAATGGACCTCTGGTCACAGGTGTTTTCCTGTAAAAGCTTTTACACAAGGGACAGGTGGTATAGTTTGGTGCAGTTATTTGGAGTGTTATGTGGCAACATGGTCAGACCTGTCTGTCATCCCCAAAGACAAGTAGAACCTTGTCACATAGTGACACTCTGTACTGTGGTCTACACACACCGCTTGCTGCATCCAAACATAAAGATGGCAATGAAGATGATGGTGGTGACTTTGAGTATGTTCCTTCCTCCCTGCCTATTCAGATTTGTGCATAGTGTCCCTGCAGACATGATCTATTTCAGCCTTCCAGATAAAGTAGAAGGGGGATCAAGTGACTGCTGTGATACGGACTTGAGAAATGGGCCACACTTGCACCGCATTCAGCAACACTGACCACCTTGCACCTGATGACCAAGTGAGGGAGTAATGGTCCCCCAGTTCTGCCTCACCTTAGCAGTAATTCCAAGTTTTAATGCATTCCCTGGCCCCACTGAACAATATGCCTAGTAGCTTTAGGTAATCTGACCTGATTCTGAAGGGGATAAGGATTGGTCGGTCCAGTTCCCAAAGACCATGGCTTCATTCTTGCCTCAATTTACCTTGGGGCCCCGAGGCCAGTCCAAACTGGTCACCAGATACTGATCATATCTGAGCAGAAAATGGTGCCATCAACTATGTGCAGGTATGCCTTGAGCCGACACCCTTTTCAAGTTCATATCCTACTTTTATGAACTCAGCAAAAGACTCTCATGCAACAAATAAACAAAGGGCAGCCCTGCCCGACTCCAAATTTGATCAGAAAGCTTTTTGATTTCTACTCCTTGATTGAAACTGCATTATTGATGTTTGGAGAGCATGTCCATTATTTAGGTGTGTGATATTCTGTCAAATGCTTTGTAATGGACCAGTCTGATAAGGCCAGTATCCACTCCCTGCTGTGCACATAGGCGATCGTGTCCCTGAATACTAGAAAGATGTCTGTGATTTTTCTGCCTGGTATAATATAAATTTGATAAGGATGAGTCACTGGCCCCAGAGCAGACCTAGCCCAGTTGTTTTTGACTTTGGACAGAAATTTCAGTTACATTCAGCAGTAAGATGAATTCAAAGGTTTTGGAGTAGATCTGTAGCTCGAGTTGTGGGTGTTGAGGTTGGTTGGCTCGCCGAGCTGGTTTGTTGTTCCGCAGACGTTTCGTTACCGTGCTTGGTAACATCCTCCGTGCAGCCTCTGATGAAGCGTCGGTGTGTTTCCCGGCCTGGTTTTTAAACTCTGGGGTCCGTTGCGACGGATTGCCTCACTTCTGGGTTTCCTCCGTAGTGGAATGTACATGGGGTCGAGTTCAATGTGTTTATTAATAGCATGCTTCGTGGAGTGCCATGCTTCCAGGAATTCTCGTGCTTGTCTCTGC